TTGAAGAAGTAATAACTTCATCTGTGGCATCTTCATGATTCACTATTCTCAAATGGTGACCCTGAAGATCTGCCCAGCCATGCCTGGACTGAGAAGCAGCTGTTTCTTAAAACGTACTTTTCCTTCAGAAGCTGGATGACATCTGTTGCTCTCAACACCAAGGGAACATGCATCAGCCGAAAGGGTGAGCAATACCTCTTGAAAGGAAGGTCACCAAGGTCCTTTTCCGTAAGCTTTATTTGTACCTAAGAGCTAAAGTAAGTAATGAAAGTATTATTTGGTACCTTTAGCTTACAACTCTTTTTCAGAAATAAAATTGTGAAGGGGGATGGGTATTATCTGCTTCTTTACCTTTAAGCTGAAAACTCACAGGGATTTCCTTAGCGCAAGCAGCCATGTCTGTTTAATTTTTTTTTAAAGCCAAGGAAAGTTCTTACTAGCAGAGGGGCTTTTTCCTACACCAAGGTGGTAGCAGTGTAAAGTTAAATAGTAAGCTTTCCCCCAGAAAAATCTCCTACATGGTATATTAGCCAATACTGTATGTGGTGTAACAGATTCTGAGGACTGCACTTATATATAATTTGCCTTTTCTGTATTGAGTGATACAAACTACAGTTAATATGTGCAGCTATATGTAATCAGTCTACACACAGTTATTATCTAAAATGGTTAGAGAGTAACATAAGCTCTTTTTTGAGTGTGAAGAGAGCAAGATCTACAGCCATTAGAACAGCTATCTTAAAAACAAATAAAAAAGGGGCTGCCCTTTATAAGTTAAATACATGTTTTTTTCAGCATGTCTACACACCACTGACCAGTCCACCATGCCTACCAACAAGCAGGGGCCTATTTGGCAGTCTAAGAAATACTTATGCAACTTCACGTTTTGATGACTATCTTCAGAAACAAAATAAGTAACACCAAACACGTCAACAAAAAAAGAAAGAGAAGACACTATCAGAGAATAAGACAAATACATGCCATACATTCAGCTAGCCTTTCGGAGGATGTTCCCATCGCTTCGATAAAGAATTTACAAAACCTTAAAAATAGTTGTCTAGTTAACTTTATGAGCAGAGACTCAGAGGGTGATGAATACCATGTCTGCAGGAACAACTTATCAAAGACGTACTTGAAAAATGTCACTAACTGTTATGTCTGTCTCTGCATTTGGGCTAAATTTACTCTTCAGAAGCCTGTAATATGTAAAACTAAAAGTTCATGACTGTTCACTTTACCAAATACCACTATGGCCTTATGGCAGTTTTTCTGAGTTACAGATGTTATCGGAATAAAAACCCATCTTGTTGCTTGCATGTTCATATTCCACTGGTTTATTCAGGAAGGCTTAAGTGGTATCCTTAGGGCTGAAATGAACTCCAGCATTTCTCTCTAGAGACACCACAGACAATGACTGCAGCACATCGCTCAGTGTTAATATAAAACAGAAAAAGATTCTTTTCCAACATATAACGTGACTCTCTTCCATTGATCATTTAGCCTAGCAGCCTAATAACAATCTATGCTTGCAAAAAAACCCACACCTATTAAACACATTTTGTGTTAAGTTCATTGACCATATTTTCTTGTTATGCCTTTTTTTAAAAGTACTGAAAATACATACACTTCATAGCACTGTGAAGCAAACTGATGCTACTTAAAGCATCACTTCATCAAAATCAGTAGTTTATTCAAGTAAGAAAATGAGTGCAAAAAAATAGAAAATATTTCCTCTCCCCATGAAAACCCCACAGAGGTCCTTATGAAAGGTTCCACGCCCCCCCCCCCCCAAACCAACATTAAAAAAAATACCAATAGTAAATAAAAACCCAAAACAAAAGAAACACGTAACACCCCCCCGTTTTCTCAGTTTACTATTGAGAAGTAGACTTCTAATCCAACATAGCTATATTGTGCATGTACGCCTTAATGGAGACTCTCTCCATCAAGCAGGACACAAAAAGCAACTTTATTTATAAATGAAAGATTACAGGCAAACTGCTGGATACCACAGACTACCTAGTAGCACATCACTAGAAAGAAAGTCCTGGATCCAGGAACAAGCCAATAATAACACAGTACAAATGGAAACATTGATATACTTTTATGGAACATGGCAGAATGAGAATTCTTATTTTCAAATTACCTTTAAAATATAATTTTAATGTATATACAAAGAAAAACATCAGGGTCATATTAATGTCATTTTAGAAACAATATATCTCTTATTACTCCCTTTTCTATGCTTGACATGTAAATAGATTGCTGCTCCAAAATGTTCTCTGCCAACTTGTATTAAATCTAGTCCTGTATTATTTGATAGGTAGAAGTCTGAGGTTTTGAGCTTGAGTCCACTGGGCTAAAAAAGCATGAACACATTGTTAATATTTTCTATAGGAATCAACAAAATGTTCATTGTAGCATTTACAGAAACAATGGCCAAACTTAGAAGAAAGCTTCGACAAAGCAACAAACCCCCAGTACTAAGGAAATGCGTTTTCCATACAGACACCACATATTTATCTTCAAGTTTTTCAGAGGTACAAATAACATCTGCTCTTGCTTCCATATATTCCATAGCATGACAATGAATTCTTACAGCATTATTTTCAATGTTCTCTGTAATATCATATATTTCATAGTGCTATTTGAACAAATTGAATAAAGTTTTCAACACCTTAAAGAAGCCAGGTGATATTACTAAGTCCCAATAACCATGTCTTACATATACAAAAATTAATTAAAAACATGAAGCTATTATCATGACAGTTGGGTGAGTAAAATTCAGTGAGGCAAATGATCAAATCTGATGAGTCATAAGCAAGCCTACATATATTTTCTTGGCTATTCTCACTCTTCTGCACATCTGTATATAAAGAGTATGTCTTTTTTGCCAAGGATATCGAATTTTACTAAATAAATTAAGTTCCACATTATTAACTGCTATGTAGTCATTATTCAATGATCCACTCTTCAGACTGTTAAGAGTTCCTACAGAAAATAAGCTGATTTTAGCCCTGCTACAATCACTATTCTGTGATTGTCTGCAAAACAAGCAGCACGCTATGATACAAATCCAGAAAGTTCTTAGGTAAATGGGTCAATCTAGAAAGCACCTGCTCTGATCAACTGTTAAAAATCTAGTGTTCTTCCTTCTACTCTCAAGTAATTTCCTGTGTAGATGCTAACAGTACATAAACTATTTGTCTACTTGTAATGCTAAACATCAATAAGAACTAAAACATTTATGAATTATTAATTGCTCTGAGACTGAATAAATTAGACCTATGGTACATTTCACCCCTTATAATTCTTGGCAGGAGAATGGCAATACAACAGTACTAAGTGGGACAACTCATTTTAAACAAAAGCTTTTGCCAGAAGTTGCTTCTTTCTCTATAGATTGTTCATGAAAATAATTACAAAGACCAAAGCAAAATGCCTACGTAAGACTGATAATTTCTGTTTGGTCCTAGGGATTCAACTTCTTATATGCAACTCAATTTACATGAGCTCTATCTCTTCTAAAGTTATCCCAAACTAGCTATTTTCAATTCAGTAACCTCTGTTTTCAAGGGATGAATTTACAGTGATACTCAAAAGATAGCTGAAAGACATTAATACTGGAAGAAAGAAAAATGTTTAAAAGGTAGAGGATACTACAGCTGATCTTAAAAAAAGAAAATTTCTCTAATATAACCCCATTTTTAGAATATGCAGCCACTTAGGCAAACTGATCTGCCTCCTTTATGTATTCATCAAGTGCAGACCCAGGAAATTCACTCTTCACAAACAAGCAAATCTAACCCCTAATGTATCGAACAGAAAATCTGGAATAGAGCCAACTCAGAGGAAACACATGGAACTTTTTCTTGTTGACAGTGCAATGAAAGGCAGTGAAAAACATGATTTACATTGTCAGAAAAATGACGTGTATTTTTATTCTAGCAAGCATGATATTTCCATTGTTCACATGTCACAGAATGACTCCTGTAACATTTTTCCAGACCACAGAAATGCTTCTCAAAATTTCAAGACTTCGCTTCTAGTTAGGTCTGAATAAGTCATGCAGCCAAATCCCTGGATAATAATCCTAATTTAAAGCTTCCCCAAACTGTTAATTCCTTTTACAATCTAAAGCAAGTTTATATCAGATTTGCCCCTACATTGAGGCTATTTTTCTCTTCTGTAGCCTGTCAGCAACTGATGTTTCCTCTTTCCACGTACTTACAGTACAAATTCATAACTTTTCCTCTGGTGATATGAGTTCAGGGGATCTTTTCTTTGAGACAAATAAATTATACCTGTTTCTGAAACTTGTTTTTACTCTTTCAGTGTTTATGTTACTTTGTTCGACATATTTGCTTTTGTAAATCCTGGTGTTTGATCTTGCATGGTTTCATTATCAATGTGTTGGCTTGCTTTTTTTTTTTCTCCTCAGTTCTCCAGATTCCTCCTCCAATTTGCTGCTTAAAGGAGAAACAGAAAAATTAGGTATCTCTATGGATACCACATAAAAACATACTATAGTTGCTTGGAGATGAAGCTATGAAACAATACTCTCTATATGTATTTTCAAGTAATCACGGTACTTGCACAGTGTTCAATTTCCTTCTATTCATTAGCTGGAACGTCTACCCATCATAAAGGATAAATTTTCTTCATATAGAGTACCAAATACCCAATAATTGTGTTCAGTTACAAAACTGAACACACCACTTAAACTGACTTTAGCTATATCAGCTCTTTAAGATATAACACTAGATTCCCCAAACAATGACACAAAATGTGGTTTATCCAGGAGTCCTGTGGACTGAACCATGCAGAATAGAAAGACTGGAAGTTTTTGAACTAGAAGTAGTTACTGAAAACAGTGAACAACAGGTAAACAGTTCTCCAGGAGTCTATTTCCTGAAGCAGTCAAATTTAAAGGAAGAAATAAAAATAGTTCTAAAAAATACAAAACCCCAATAAATAATAATTTTTAAAATATCTTTCAGATCTGGCCTCACAGAATAAGACTTCAAAGGTACAAGTAAAACAAGAATGGCCATGACAACACTGCAAGTTACTTTTCAGTTAAGATTACCCTTACATTACAGGTTCGCTGCAGTGATTCCAAGAAGTCAATAACTGACACTTTCAGAAAAGAATAAAGTACTACAGTACTTCTAGATTAAATTTTCAGGAGCACTCTGGCTCAAATTTCACCTTCACTGAATGAATGCCAGCTGAAAAAGAAAAGCCAGCTTGAAATAAAATTGTGAAGAACAGTCACAATAGGCAGAAGTGTTGCTTTAGAATGTTCTGCCTATATGAAATCCAGACATTCACAAAATCCTTAATGACTGCAGTTACGGCATTAAAAATAGCACATGTGCTTGCTCCCCATTTTCTTGGATAATGCAATTTTTAAAATGACTAAAAAACCAAACATAATTCTTCTGTTCAGGACTAACCTTTGGTTTTTGTGAACTGGAAAGAAGTAAATCAGCCTGGGCTTTTTTCTGTTTGGGTTGGTTTTTTTGGCTTGGGATGTTGTTTTTTTTTGTTTTGCTTTGGTTTGGTTTTGTTGGTTAGTTGGGGGTTTCTTTTGTTTTGTTGGGGGGCTTTTGTTGTTCTTGGTTTGTATTTCCAAAAGGGATCCTGATAAAGCTGTGTGGTCTTTAGCAGGACTCAGGTGCACAGAGTAAGATCTTGACATTTACATACATATACAAAGAAATCCAGAAATTGCAGTATTAGAAACTAGAAAAATGTTTCTTTCAAGTTCACAAATTTATTGTCTGTCAACAGTTACATTACAACAAAATTAAGATCCAGATTTTGTTAAGAATCCAAGTTTTTAAAAATTCTTGTTTGATGTATATGCAAGGACTAACCCTTTTTATGTAATATCTTAAACTGATTACGCAGATCCTCCACGGGTAATGGACCATTTATTGGAAGGCTCTCAGCTGCTCTGCTTTCTCGCACAGCAGAAGAATAAGCATAATTGTATACAGCATTATATTACATGAGTAATGTTAAATTAGTTTTATCCAAAGGCACTCTCAACTTCCATTAACGTATGATGGAGATTAAAAAAAAACAAAACAACAAACCCTTCTATCAAATTTAAAGTGGTTAAGGTCGCCTAAACTGTCTTTGTTATTAAGCAAACATTTACTATGAAACTGACATTTGGAAATTATAAAACTGAGAATCAGAGAACAGTTAGGGCTGGAAAGGACCTTAAGATCACCTAGTTCCAAGCCCCTGCCATGAGCAGAGAGAACTCACACTAAACCATATCACCCAAGGCTCTGTCCAACCTGGCCTTGAACACTGCCAGGTTTGGAGCATTCACAACTTCCCTGGGCAACCCATTCCAGTGCCTCAAGACCCTTACAGTTAAGAACTTCTTCCTTATATCCAATCTAAACCTCCCCTGATTGAGTTTTAACCCATTACTCCTTGTCCCATCACTACAATCCCTAATGAACAGTCCCTCCCCAGCACCCCTACAGGCCCCCTCCAGATACTGGAAGGCTGCTATGAGGTCTCCACGCAGCCTTCTCTTCTCCAGGCTGAACAGCCCCAACTTTCTCAGCCTACCTTCGTAAGGGAGGGGCTCCATTCCCCTGATCACTCTCGTGGCCCTCCTCTGGACTTGTTCCAACAGTTCCATGTCCTTTTTATGTTGAGGACAGCAGAACTGTACACAATACTCCAGGTGAGATCTCACAAGAGCAGAGCAGAGGGGCAGGATCACCTCCTTCAACCTGCTGGTCACGCTCCTCTTGATGCAGCCCAGGATATGGTTGGCTTTCTGGCCCTCGAGCACACACTGAAGCCGGCTCATGTTCATTTACTTAGACCAACACCCCCAAATTCTTCTCCGCAGGGCTGCTCTGAATCTCTTCTCTGCCCAACCTGTAGCTGTGCCTGGCATTGCTCCAACCCAGGTGTAGGACCTTGCACTTGGCATGGTTAAACTTCATGAGGTTGGCATCAGCCCACCTCACAAGTGTGTCAAGGTCCCTCTGGATGGCATTCCTTCCCTCCAGCGTATCAACCGAACCACACAGCTTGGCGTCATCAGCAAACCTGCTGAGGGCACACTCAATCCCACTGTCCACGTCAGCGACAAAGATGTTGAACAAGACCGGTCCCAGCACCGATCCCTGAGGAACACCACTCGTTACTGGTCTCCACCTGGACATTGAGGCATTGACCACAACTCTTTGCATGCAGCCATCCATCCAGTTCTTTATCCACCGAGTGGTCCATTCATCAAATTGATGTCTCTCCAATTTAGAGACAAGGATGTCGTGTGGGACAGTGTCGAACGCTTTGCGCAAGTCCAGGTAGATGATGTCAACTGCTCTACCCCTGTCCATCAGTTCTGTAGCCCCATCATAGGCCACCAGATTGATCAGGCAGGATTTCCCCTTAGTGAAACCATGCTGGCTGTCACCAAGCACCTTGTTGATTTTCATGTCCCTTAGCATGCCTTCAGGAGAATCTGCTCCAAGATTTTGCCAGGCACAGAGGTGAGACTGACTGGGCTGTAGTTCCCTGAGTCATCCATTTTCCCCTTCTTGAAAATGGGGGTTTTATTTCCCTATTACCAGTCGTCAGGAACTTCACCTGACTGCCATGATTTTTCATATATGATGGACAGTGGCTTAGCAACTTCATTCGCCAGCTCCTTCAGGACCCGCGGATGGATTTCATGAGGTCCCATGGACTTGTGCACATTCAGGTTCTTTAGATGGTCTTGAACCAGATCCTCTCCTACAGTGGGCCCAAGGTCTTCATTCTCACAGTCCCTGCGTCTGCCTTCCAAGACTTGGGTGGTGTGGTCAGAGCATTTGCCAGTGAAGACCGAGGCAAAGAAGTAATTCAGAACCTCAGCCTTCTCCAAATCCAGTTCTCCTGACAGCTTCTAGAGGCGGCCTACGCTGTCCCTAGTCTGTCTTTTATTCACTACGTACCTACAGAACCCCTTCTTGTTATCCTTAACATCCATAGCCAACTTTAATTCCAACTGGGCCTTAGCTTTCCTAACCTGGTCCCTAGCTTCCCAGACAACATCCCTGTATTCTTCCCAGGCCGCCTGTCATTTCCACCTTTTATAAGCCTCTTTTTTCCTTCAAATTTTCCTCAGCAGCTCCTCATCCATCCAAGGAGGTCCCCTGGCCTTCCTGCTGCACTTCCTTCTACTCGGGATGCAACACTCCTGAGCTTGTATTTAGAGACAATAAGCAACATTTTTTTCCTGAATTAATAGTAGAATGATAACTTTCACAAGAAGTGAATTTGCTTTGTATTACAGTTGCATATAAAACCAGGATAATACATTTTAAGAGACATGCTTGGAGAAGGACATCTTTAATAAAAAGGACAGGAATTTTTCCATGCATAAAATGCAAACTTCTTGCAAAATAAAATGGACATGGAGATAAGATACATAACATTTGGCCTCACATCTACATTCTGTTGTGAGAAATCTCACCACAGACACAAACTCCTCTGTGTTGAATATATTCATGTTGAGTTCAAAATCTACAACAGTTTCAAATTCATGTGTAAACTGCAGTGTTGTCTAAGACCTTTTTCTCTACTGTTTTGTAAAATGAAATCCAAAGGGAAATAAGAAAAACCCACAGCCTCTCTATCAGTCCCATCTCCAGCACTGCATTATAGGAGAAAGTTTCAGTTACATCTCCCAGAAAAACCTCAGGGCTATGAATAAAGGCAAGGGACTGAAAACTCTGTGTTTAACACTGAAACAGTAATGAATAAGTCAGCTCTTCCCCAAAAGTGTCTGGAAAAAACAGCATCAGAAATCTCTGTGGATCAATCAACCTTAGAGTAAATTACCACCTTTAAGAAAGTCACACAACAAGGCCGGTGTTGTACTGCAACCAAAGACAACCAGTCAATCAAACCAAAGAAATCCTGAAACATCACTCCACTGAGAGCTTTAACTCTGGGGAAGTGTACCTGCTAACAACAGCAACTGGATTATTTTCAAGAGCTTAGACAAAAGGAACATGCATTTCCTCTTGCATATAGCAATTTCTATACATTGTTATGGGTAAGAATTTTCTGGTCTCATAAAAAAAAACAGCAGTATCTGAAACAACAAATATAACAATCTCTGTATCCAAAGAACTATTATTTGATGAGTTTTATGACTTCTCGTTTAAGGATATTATTTGCCCTGAATTCTTACCAACTATTAGATAAACAAGACATTACAGAGGAGGAGCTGGAATGGAAGCAAAATTCCTCACATAAATTACTTATTCCCTTAAGGGTGTTATTTGAAAGAATTCTTGAAGGCATATGGCTGAGCCACCACAGCAGTGCCTGGGGGAACCCCTACATGTGACACAACACGTGTCAGTATTTACTAGGATACACCAAGATGAACCTCTGGTTTTTTGAAGACAACTCCCAGAATTTTGTGGAATTTATTGGTTTTTAGAAAGGAGGAAAATTCTTGGAATCGGTCACAGCTACAAAAGATACAAAGCACTTACTAGAGAAATAACTTATGCTAAGTTTTTGCTAGAAAAATCATACAACCCAACAACAGTTTCAGATTCAGTTCTCTCTCATAAAAAGAGACAATCCTCCTTTTGAAGATATTTTCAGTGCAAGTTAAGGGATTCACAACTGGGAGGAAGGAAAGAAATTGAGAGTTTATTTTGCTTTCTTACTGCCAGGTGCTAGAATTTTCACAGTGAATCCACTGCTGATTCATTAAAATATATCCCCTCAAAGTTCATTTATTATCCAGAGAGACTGCTTCAGCAGCAAATCAGAACTGCTCCATGATTTTTTCAGGCCTCATAATTAAGTAATAATTATTAATTCAGTAATAAATAAATTACATGCAGACATATTTCGAAGTACACAAGCGCTGTGCACAGCCAAGAAACTACGTGCATCCATGTACACAGGGTTTTTCATTAGCTTGGCTTTTACAGGCATAGATTCAAAATGTCATGTATTTAGCTATGTGCCTCAGAATGCTCCATGTAACTACTCAAAGTTTGTACATAATACTCAGACATTGCAGAAACATCTCCAAGTGATTTATTCAAACTCATGCAGTTGTAGCACTTGCTATAAATGTTTTAGACTTTGATACACGGTTCAGTGTTCTTATCATTCTGATAACTTTACTGTAAATATTATTTTAAAATAAAATTATCTTGAATTCCTTACCTCCGCCACTTACAGATTAAAGTCAATGTACTAGGATCCCTCTGACTGACTGTACCAACACCAACTTTACATCAATGAAACTTCCATTAA